TCTTCACAAATAAGATGGGAGCTTCAGTTGGAAATTTAGAGTAGTGTTTGTAGTTCTTTGCCAAGTTCTCATCAATTTACTCTTTTAATGCAGCCAACTCATTCTATGATAAGCTATAGATTGGTCCGAATGGTGGTTGAGCTCTTTCTTATAAATTAATTGAATAATTATAAGGTCGATGTTTTGGAAGAATATCTGCATTCTTCTTTTCAAATACATCTTGAAATTCTTCATATTGGCTAGGAATACCACTTGACGTTTTTTCACCATTAGAAATGGATGTAGCATATATAGCAAAAGATAATCTTTCTTTTGTAGCATGTATAAAAGCTCTTACACCTACCAGTAAAGATTTGGATGTATTAGATTTTTGCGCTTCTACTTCACTAACTCAATCTTCAATTTTACTACCACAAAAGTTAAGATTACAAGAAATCCAATCTATTTGAGGATTATATTTTTCTAGTCATGATAATCCTAAAATAACCAGATTAGAAGAAGATCTTATTACATAAAATACTACTACACTGTTATGACCTATAATTGTTGTATCTAAAGGAACAATCTCATGGATAATATTTCCAAAAGACAATAAAAGACCATTTATGACTTCTACATGTACGGATTTAGTTTTCTTAACTAGAGGTATTTTTTTGATTTTTGACAAAATCTTCATCTATAAAATAGGTTGAGGCTCCTGAATCTATTTAGGCAAAGATTTTGTAATTTTTAGGTCCTAAACATACATCTATTATAAAACAAGGTGAGGGATCTGAGGAGAGAATAGGACCTTTACTAGGTATTACACATGATCCCTATTGTAGCTGGAGAAACTCGTTTTTTAATACATTATCTTCTTTGGTAATTATACTCCTTATTTTGTAATTTCATTGCTTCTTTGGACAATGTTGAGCACTCTACTTAGTTTCTCTACAATATAAACACAAATCCTTTTGGCAACATTGAGTCTTTTCCTGCTCTATAAGATGTTTAAAATGTATCGTATCAATTTGCATTGGTTCCGACCTTGATGAATACGTTTCAAAAAACTTGGAAGTTGCTGCCATTACTTGCCTTATTCCTCTTGAGCTAAGTCTTTGTTCTTGATGCCTTTCAAATAATCGATTATTGTATGCAATGGCTTAAGCAATAAATCATTCTAAAGATTTTACTTTTGGCATTCTGAATAACAAATATTTGACACTATCTTTTAATCCATATCAAAATTGATTGAAAAGTTCTTTGTCATTCTAGTCTATATTGCAAGCCAGATTTTGAATTCAGTAGCATATGTGGTAGCTGATCGTGATCCTTATCATAAAGATAAGAATTTGATTTCTACTACTCATTCTTGATCGTTTTCCTCAAATGTGGCCGTAAACACTTCTAAGGATGAATTCAAATCATAAAGGAGTCACAAATCTTTTTTCCATTAAAGGTGAAAACCAAGAGAGAGCACTTTTTGATAGAAGTGTGCATATAAATCCAACTTGAGTAAATCCATCAGGGTATTGGAAAGGATGCAACCTTAGATAGAGCTTGACTTGTTGCAAAAATCTTCAAAATTTTGATCTTGTTCCATTAACCTTCTCAAGCATACTAATCCTTACTGCCGTCATACATGTAGAAGTAAAACTCCCTAGATTTGGTTGTGAGGTAAATCTACTTGCTTCCTTTAATTGCACAACTTTTTGTCGCAGATTCTAAACTTTTTCAATAGGTGTAGGCATAATACCTCCATTATTCTTATTAGAAATACATGAGATTTCCACTCTAAGAGTATTGACAAGCTCATGAAGATTTACAATAGTTGCAAATCTATTCTCACTTCCGCTAGGAGTAACATCCATAATCTTTCATTCTATAAGCAATTCAAATAAATCCAAAAAAGAGAAATTAGAGGAAGGTAATCCACAACTTCTAATAAAAATTTCTACAAAGAAAGATAATTCACTCTCTTTAAGGAAAGATCAGTGTTAAAAAATAAGATTTTTTTGTTTAAAAGGTTGGTAGTCTACAATCTTTAAAAGACAACAATAAAAGTGTGATAATCCACTCACTTCTAAAACAAGGTAGAAACAATATGTTAGAACTTTTGTCAAATTTTCAGGGATATGAATCTCAAAGAAAGAGAATTCTTGATACATTCTTGTTTCACTAAAGAAAACTAGAAAGTCACTCCAAGGGTAATGTAATATTAACTAAAATGGATATTACCAAAAATAAAAAGACTAGAAAGTCTTGAAACAAGACTAAGGACTAAAACAACATTGACAAGAGTAAAGAAGGCTTCATTCTTGTTCCATATATATTCTTAACTCGGAGCTACATCGCAATGTCTTATAGGACCTCCAAAATATATTGACTTTGCTAGCCACATGTCTTAAGTTGTAAGACAAGTTATCTATGTACACGCCACATGTTTAATTTGTTCTACAAGCTATTATATGGAGTTAACTTGTTCCACAAGCTACCAACACATGATTAACTTATTGGCCAAGTTTCTGACCTACAAACACATCTAAAGTCAAAATTGTATCTATGAAGCTTCTAAGAAGCTTCTTAAAAAGACTTTATGAAATTAATTTGTATTTATCTATTTCTACCTAATTATATAAGTAATTATTGAGATCAATGTATATATCCGTGATACATTGTCATATAGTTCTTTAGTAAATAATATATATAGAGGCAAGAATGAGGCCTTCTTCACTCTTGTTAATATCTTTCTTAACTTGTATTAGTTTAAGAGTCTCTAATCTCTTTATATTTAGAATTACTTCTATTAATTTATATCTTATATCTATCTTTGAATTGTTTCTTGTCTCTCTTTAAGTGTCAGAAGAGTGTATTGCTTCTTTAGAATTTTGTTATGATCCATGCTCTGACAAATAGCATCTGCTCTTCTTAAATATGGTTTTTTGTAATGAATTATTACAAGACTATTTGGTAGAAGAAAGAAGGGCCTTGCTAAAAGCCTTCTATATGCTTTGCAAGTTGGACTTATGTATTATGGCATGTAAGACAAGGGCCTTATGTATACTTTAGTAGAACTAAAAAAAACATTCTTTTACCACTTGCTACTCAATTTAGATCCTTCTATAACTACTTTATTTTTTCTCATACCTTATTGTGACATATCTATTGATCCTTGCATGGTTGCTATCATTGAATTCTTGCAATAATATAATTTAGATTTTTAGAATAGTTTAGAAATATGGTGTTATTAAAACAAAAAGAACTTCATTAGAAGAAGAAGATCGATTGACTCCATTATGTTTTTTTAGATCAGTTTTCAAATTTTGACGTCTACTTCACATGTTAATTTGGACTAAAGATGTTTAAGTTGAGGGCATCTTGGACCTTACCACACAATTACATAACTTGTTACTTAAATTTTGCAATCTCTTATTAATTCTAGATGTCATGATTGTGTGTTGCATGTTAATCTGTTGTAAGAAATTCCAAAGCTTACATCATTGTCATTGAAATCAAAGAATTTTCTCGGTGTCTCTCATATCCACATGGACAGATAAATGGTCCATTTCAACATGAATTATATACATCTGTGGCTACTTGTATTGATTTAGTTCTAAGCAGAAATACTTCCCGTCTGCCTGCATACACATAAGCAAGTTGATTCACTAGGGGGTTTTCCTGCTGGATGTTGGTTGCCGTGACTCCCGAAAGCAGTGTACAATGCCGTCATTGCAAGTTCTTCCTGTGAAGACATTGGGTGGTACCTCTACCCATTGCTTTGTTCTACTTCCCCCACCATAGGATCCTCTCCTCGCTAAAAGGCGCAATCTTTGACACGCTCTGCACAAGTCACCACAGTGGAACCCTAAAAATAACTCTAGAAAAGAAAATCTCAGATCATCAGCGTTGCATTCAGTAACCATGTTTCCACATGGTCTTTATTGTTTAAGCACGGCTGCAGCCGCGCAGCACCGACCACCTTTCAGGCCTATTCTCTCGATCCTCATAATGCGGAGATCTTCATCAACCTCCAATCGAGGCTGTGAAAGATGTTATGGGACTCTCACCTTCATCCTCAGATTTAAGAAGGATGGTGGGTTTTCAAATAAGAGGGTGGGAGTTTTAGCAAAGTGCTGTAACATGCACAGTGCGTTTACAGGTACATCTTGCTACAGGGCCATTCGCGTTGCTGTCCATGAACGACGCCCACAGCAACATATTCTGGACAACTACTGAAATGGCTAATGCTCTGTAGGCCAAGTCAGCCCAGGGGGGTCCACCTCCGGCGGACGCGTGGCAGGGTTCTTCCTCGACGGATGAACTCATGCAATTAACTGGGTCCCGATTGTTCAAAACGGAGTACACTACTCATCCCCTCGGCAGCAAACCTGTCGACATTCAGAGATTCAAATGCAAATGCGGTGCCTGGTCTCCGATTGACTCAATTATTGTTGGCCCCTTTTTTGATTCGACACCACTGCTTTTAGACGCACCTACCCTCCTGAGTGCCGATTCTCTTGGTTTTAGTCGTTGCGATATCGTCCACAATTCTTCATGACTAGGATTATCTGCACTATGATCTGCCGAGGTTGATAAGGCATCGGTCGCTATCATCGCCTGCAATGTGGATCAGCTGCGTGATTCTCATGCCATGAAATGTTGCTAGTGGTAATTCCAATCATTTCTATCACCACTAATACAGTGCAAGAAAGTATGGAAGTCTTGGTTCGAGGCTAAGTTGAACGAGCAATCTGGCGTTAGGGTGCGGTTCTCCGTGGTCGTAGCATTGTTTGGTTAGCATCGGTCGCTTCAGGTCATAGCGTTCTCGTTACAGTCCAAGTACGTCGTGAGTTCATTCAGGTCTAAGCCATTAAGGCGGGTCAGCAAATCTTTGCCGTGGGAAAATATTACGAACTTAACACTTTTGAACCAATCACGTGACCTCAATTACTTAGAGCACACAAACAATGGACTCATTCGCACAAAATGTCAAGTTATGAAAAGCTTGTGCACAGATGAGATGATAGTATCCATGACTTTATTTACGACTGCTTTACTGCTTCTAAACATACGACAACCGCATCACATGAGCAATGAGCAGAACAAGTTCGTATCCAGTGAATGGCGGCAGACATTTGATCAGCACTGCTCATCCATCTTCAACTAAAATGTACCTACTTCACACAAACTACCGTATTTCAAAGGCAGTATAATCCCAGCGTCAGCGTGGAACTGATACGAAATCAAGTTTCACTAAACGGGACGATTTTCGATCGTCTGGGTGGACCGCTCCTGTAAGCACTGTCACAAGCCCATGAGAAATTCCTAGCATCAGGTTGATATCAGCGGAAGTTGTGGCCCTCCCAGGTTTGTCCAAACTTCCATGCATTGCCTACTGCACTGTTGATGGTGATTTGACGGCGGTCGCCGGCAGTGATCTGAAATGAGAGGGGCCCGCTGAGTTTCCTTTGTACTGTCCACAACGCACCCCAGTTGCGGTACATGGGAATCCAGTCAGTGGACGGGGTCTTGATTCTAACGGCCCTTACATCGCCTGCGCCAGCGACGTTGTGGATGAGGATCATCAGAAACCAAGGATTGCCTCCTATGGTGAACCGAATTCCACCGCGTTTGACACATTTAACCCTGCACCCACAGACTGTATTTAGCTATTTCTTGGAAGTAAGGTTGATTCAAGTTTCAAATATTGTACCAAATGCGTATGTGCACAAAATTCTAAGATTCTGCACCAGACCAACACCATAGATTGGCAAAAGCGCGGTAATGTACCTTCTGTATAGCACTGGAGCCACACCACCTTCACGTCTCGCCAGGGTTAGGAAGGCAGGCATTGTCAAGTCGAAATGGTGCCTTGGAGGGTCGCACCACGCCCCGGCAGAGCCTGGTGGACAGAGGTTAGTGGCAGTGATGGTGATGGTTCGAGAATAACTCCAGCACCAGTTCTTCACAGTACGGGTTTCTTGCACTCGTTTGCACTGAAGCTGGTAGCAAGCCCCACAAGCCGCTCCACCCTCAAACAAAGGCGAGCTCAACGCCGCAGTCATGGCACCGTAGCCCAGCGAGAATGTGTTCTGATACGCGCAAGCGCCACCCTGTGTTCCTCCACCGTTAGGTGACCCGTAATAGGTGATGTGCGCATCGCGCCATCCAACCGGCATTCCAAGCACCGACGGTATAACCAGCGTAGCAACAAACATGACAAAAGTGACCTCCACACGAGTTAGGCCGCTCATCTTTGGGGTGCACCTGCCATCGTAAAAATGTAACATCAGTTACGAACAACAAATGGAATGAAAGGGGATAATTTATGTCTGTGTTTGAGATGATCCGCACGAGTCTTTTGAGTGCATTGTTCACATCCAAATTCCTTAGACCCAATCCTCTAAATAGTTCTACCAAAGACGGCATTCCTGCTCCCGAAGTTAAGATTCGACCCAATGTGTGACAATAGTTAGCCACACCAAAGTCCTGGCATTCTAATAACTCGTTGACAGACCTGAATGAGCCCAGTCTCACGTACCTCGAAAGCACTCTCTTTCTGCCAAGAGCAATGCCGGGCGATTGCATGGGGCTGGGTGGAAGTTGCGGATTGAATCCTCAACACTGCTGTAACAGTCACGAGACAAGCAACAGTTACAAGAGATGGGGTACACTTACAAGAAACGAGTGGCCACGCAGCTGAGTCAGGCTGATACTTGTGGTTTTGGCCGAACTCAATATATGATAGATAACCTCTCTCCTAAGGGAAGTTATGAACGCTACGCTTGACTGCGCAGACGAAGGAGCCACAGTATCGAAATCTGTGCCGAAAGGACGGTGAGAGGACGAGGGAAGTACCACGGACTGGGAGATTCATATAGTCCTCTTTTTCTCCCCCCACCATTCCAGACAACCGCCGTCCGGATTGAACGGGGATGATTGCAATGAAATCTTTTGGTAATGTGCGATTCTCCGCATTGTCAACGGACCTGCTAATTAGCGAAACTCTCGTTGTTCCATAGGTGAAAATAGCAAGCACCATGTTGGCTGAATGAGGCACCCACCATGTTCGACGAGGAACACAATGGCCACACGGATTTCGGTTATTGTTTGGACTGTTTGGCTGGGTTTCTACCTACTTTCTTTATGGGCCCCACATCGCACAAAGTCTGGTGAGGCGGTCCACTCCAGAGAATTTGCCTCGCGTGCTTCCTGCTTCGGGGAAGGGGAAGTCAACGCTAGTGTTCCATCTCCCGTCAATGCACGTGTGCATGCGAGTCTTCGACGCAAACATCCACAACCTCGTTGCTTCAATTACTTCAGGCTCTTTCTATCTGTGATTATAATATCTCTTATAGAATACAGAACATGTTTAAACAAGAGGAGGCAAAATCATCATTTATTGGTTACATATCTTATTGTTTTCATCAAAAGTAAAGCAATAATTCAATTTTGGATCAACTAGATATCAAAATCTGCATACTGTTGTGCACATCGTGGAGAGTAGCAGTGCAAGATCACTAGGAGTAAAGTTTAGAAGCTCCCAATAGAGGCTATTACTATTTCATTATAATTATAATATTATTTTATATTATAATATAACTATTAATTATAAAAAAAATCATGACCAACTGCATAGGTTTCTACCAATATATATATATATATATATATACATATATTCACCCATCTCTCTTGGCATTAGAGTGGCTCTGTGTGGTATGATTTTAACACATCACATTTCCATTAATAGCTGAATGTGGTTGATATCCAAGTAACCCACTTTATCCTCCATGAATTTTAAAGCTTTGTTTGCTATTTTGTTTCTTAAAGTTTGGAAACAATTAGAGGTGAAAATATATTGTGACATTTTAATTTTTATGTTATTAAATAATTATAACTATAATTATATATATTTAAAAATATTAAATATATATTTTTTGTAATTGATTTGTATATAAAAAAAATACTATAATAATGAAATTTCACATATCACATTGCTTGATTAATCTTAAAAAGTGAAGAAAATTATTGTGGTTTTAATAGCATAGTAACCAACAAACTTTCAATTGTAGATATAATTAAAATTTTAGAATTAAGCTTTAGTAAACTATAACAAAGTTTTATTTTTAGTACATTTTAAAACCTATTTATTATCATAAGTATTGCATTCTAAGTTATATGTATAGTATTTTATTTTAGCAATATAACATTCAACCAACTTTGCAATATGTAAATATTTTAGTATCTTTTACACCCTAATGCTCTCTATTTTGCAAATATCTCTTTTTTCTACAAAAATTGCAGGTAAGATATTTAGAAATAATACAATATGTTAAAAAGATTAGTAAGTTGTAAACTTATATGTTAATAGATAATGATATATTGTGAAGTGATTCTTTAAACATAGAATCAAGAAAGCATGAGAGCAAAAAAAAACTATTTTAAAAAACTACTAATATTTAAATATTTGTAAAATAGGTTCTTTGATGCATAAAATAAAAATAAAAATCTATATATATATATATATATATATATATATAAACATATATTGAATACATATCTTTATTTAAATTGACTTTAATCATATGAGTTCTTTAATTCTTTAATAATGTTGCAATTAAATATAATATTATTTTTTCAAATATTATTTCTAATGTAGTAATATTTATTAGCAAGATTTAACTCTAACTTTTATTTTTGATTAGATATGATATGTTAGTTTGATAACTGCTTCAAAACTAATCATTACAAGACAATATCATAGTTTTATATACTTATATTTTTATTTTTTAAAATTTCTTTTCCAAGTAAAGTCACAAAATAATTTTCTTAAAATTGAAATTCTTATTTCAATCAAATTGACACAAAAGAAATTTCAGATGTGAAATAATTTTTTTCTCTAAATTTGCTATCATATAGTAAATTTTTAATTTAAAAATTATTCAACTTATTTTAAATTTTTAGTTTAAAATAGAACAAAATGTTGACTAATTTTTAAAATTTTATGGTTTATCTTATTTTAGATGAAAATCAATATATAAAGGTTTAAATATTAAAATAATTTTTTTTTGTTGGCTACAAGTTTTTTCTATTACAATGTTGTTATTGCTAGATTTTTTGTTTTAGAGAGTTAAGAATTATCCAATACCTGGTGGAAATTAGAAATATTTAGCTCCATTAGGACAATCATAAAGCCTCTCATAAAAGATATATAAGTATTTTTCTTGTTAGAAGGAGAACTAATTTTGGCTGAGAATTATATGCAATAAAAAAATACTCGTTATTGACAATAACATCAAATATTACAATGCAAAATATTTCTGTCATAGCAGAGATATTCTGTCAAAAACTATTTTTATTCTATTCCCCAAATGAGATCACTACATAAATACCCATCCCGTCGTTCTTCATGGCAAGATCTGGCTAAAACAATCCGAGTCTGATCCGCCGCCTCCTCCCTGAGCAGGTCCGTCCTTTCTCGGCGAGCGGAGCAGTTTCTGCCTCCAACATCTCAGAGGCGTAATGAACCCAGGGCTCCTTGTGCGCGGTGAACTTACCGCTAATTTCGATGATGGTGATGCTCTTGAAGTCGCAACAATCGTCTGAGGTCAAAACTAGGACGCTTTCAGTTCTGACAGGCCCTATCCAATACTCCTGATAAGTGTCGATGTAATCCATCTGCATGCTGTGTTTGCTGCCCAGCTCGATCTTTGAGAAGTTCACCCTGAATCGGCTGTTGCCCACTGTCACGTGCAACACCTGCTGGGTGTTACTCACGAACTCAATCACAATAGGTACCATTTTACTTCGTTCCAACAGCGACCTGGAAAACGTCCGCCGCGGCTGGTGCTTTAACGGTTGAACCGAACTCCTGGAACGGCGAGAAAAGTAGACTTTTTATGATCAGCTCAGGAATTTCGCCACCAGTGTGCAGAATGCTATCTGCTGAACGCTGCGACTGTGAGGCTCAGTTCCATGGACTGTACAAAAGCCCAGGGTCGAGTAGGTCGGATTGAAGCACCCCCGCTCCCAATCTACCCCCACAGCCACAATCGATGATTTCAACGTCGACAATGCAATGGCAGCCGGCAGAAAACTAGGAAACACCAGACAGATGCACAATGACAAGGAAGAGATGAGTGAAGGCCTCCGAGGAGAGATTGATGTCATGTGCTGCGGACACAATGCAGGATTAATCATGCTCCGCAGCGGACATCGAGCATCTCACGTGTTTACGTCGGCCACGCCGAAATGAATTTGGAATAGTTGTTGCTGGAAAATCCAATGTGGTAGTGACCAGGCAGACGGGGTGCCGGCCGGATCCAGTGAGAGAGAGAGAGAGAGAGAGAGAGTGTCTGAGAGAGGGGTGGCAGGTAGTGCTGCTGTCTGAATTGAAATCCGTATATTATAGGCAGCAGCATCGACAAAGGCGGGGGGTTGCGTCTCTCGTGCTTCGAAAGACTTTTACACAGTCGGAGTCGGCTCTTATTTGGCGGATGAAAACTGTGATTTTTGGGAATGCGGTGGCCCAATCGCATGCATAGCAGCAGCAGTAGTAGCAGCAGCATGCCGTTGGAGCCCTATGACCGCCCATCAACTCACTGTGAGCGGAACCCACCTTTCTACTTCTGTTGTTTGTTTGTTTGTTTTAAGGGGAGCTGGAAGTCCTTGTGTGTGTGTGTGTGTGTTCAGGGCTTTTGTGGTGGTTTTGTGGTGGCAGATACTCTCACAACGAGAAGAGTCTTGTTTTACTCTTGGATTTTCTCACTGCAGATTCAAGGTATCGTTGTGCTTCTAGATGGCAATCCCGACGGAGCATGACACTGTTTCTGCGAATCCATTTTGAAGAGTCTGCTTGGGAAAACTCATTGGCAAATAGGTGTGGGGAGAAACCTTTTCCCCTCTTTCTGAGATGTTGTGTGGATGTTTCAGGAAGTGCCTTGGCAGACTTGGTTGCTCCTGACTCAGTATCCGCCACTCGGATCACATTAGGTGATGGCAAACATACATTTTATCCACTCCGATGAGGGACTTATGGAACCGAGGTATGGTAATGTCCACTGCGCAGGCGATCATGGATATGTACAAGTCATGCAGTTAAGCTCTGCCGAAAACCCTTCTTGTATAATCGCGTAGAATACCTGTTCCGCATAGATGTGAATGAACAAATTGTTTCCCTATTTCTTGGGTGGCAATCAGGTGTGGCAATGTTGCCAGAAGTATTTGACAACAATGTCCTACCTATGGCTACAACCGCAACTATAGGAACCTCTTGCGAAGAACATCCCCTAAAACAAAAATCTGCTTCCAACATCAACTACGGATTCGTAAATCTCCGCAAGAAGTTGGTGGCCGCACAGGCTCGGAGCCCTGATATCGTGATCATTCTTCACTTAGCTTTGGGTTTACTTACCGCTCTGTGGGCACAGCGGCGCACCGTTGGTTGTGATGATAAAGCCCCGAGGTTAAACTCTGGTTGACCAAGTCATATCTTCACTAACCAACACTGCGAACCACATCGCTTAATCAGTCGCTTTGTCACTTAATCAGCATCCTCATCATTGGGAAAAGAAAAAGTAAGGGGAATCATGTTGTCGTGCAATCAGAACAGCATGGGTGATACACTGCTCAGACCTAGTACACTACCTGGGAGTTCCTTACAACAACCAACATCTCTTGTAAAAGAAATAATCACTAAAATTCAACATCAGAGAAAGATTACATAAACTTTCTTTGGGAGGCGTTCAATCGCAGCGAGACAAACAAACTTCACAGTCCGCCAAACCTTTCCTGGAACGAAAAACATGTCGATTTTAAATGGCTGTATACTAGTGCATTCGCACACAGTGATCAGAAAACATAGTGAACAACCCAAACGAGTCTCCTTCACAGCAACTGTCGACCTAAAAGTTTCAAGTCACGGATACAGTCTGGTCATTGTAGCACGCGCAGTACATCCATGCATAGTAATTCCAAAACAGCTGAATTGTGCTCCACCTTCAAGGTAGTGTTCTTACAGGCAGCGTTGTAAACCCTAACATTAGTCTGCCGAATTGATCAGTGCTACCACATCTACAGTTCCAACTCCTCGATACCCAAATCTCCGAGCCATTTCTATGGAAAAAAGAAAACGTGGAATTATAAGCCACCACCATGCCCACAAAACAGAACATAAAACTCTATCGCCCGAAATCCAATGTCCTGATGAATCATCAAACAAAAGTATACTCATAGCACACGTTCCCCCTCAAATCTTCACCGAAACCTATGCCCCAAAACTTTAACAGGCACGCAGAAATGAAATCGAAACAGAAAAAACTGAGCAGTGACGATTGCACAACACTGTCGGTGATTCCACAACGCTTAGTAAGCATTCAAAATCGATCTTCACACAGGTTACGAGATTCGACGAAGTTTATACTCGACAAAAATCTGCTGAAGAGGTTCATGCTTTAGTGTGAAACCGGTTCGTGAAGGCAGGTTGATATCCGGAATATTAAGAACAATTAGATATTTGATTCACTTGGTAATAATGCTTTAACTACATTTTTAGAGAAGAGTACCACTTACGATTTTTGGATCAATGATTCTTACAATTTATTCTTTGTAGCATTTGAAATAAAGATTATGTCGTTTTATTCAAATATAGATATTAAATGTTATTTATTAAAAACAATTCTATCATAGTTTGAATTTTTGTTGGAAATTTTGGAAATTCTACCTTTATAAAAACATATATATGTATTTTTAAAAATAAGACACTATATACAATGATTGCTCTACCAACTACATTATTTTAAAAAAATTACCAAAATTAGATTTTATTGTAGCATGTCTAAAATGTTGATTAATATTCCATGTAATGAGAGATAGTTTGTAAGGAGTACTTTAGAAATTTATTATAATGAGAGATAGTTCGTAAGGAGTACTTTAGAAATTTATTCTATATGTTGAAGCAATCCAACAATTTTTTTTCTATTACTAATATATCCAAGAATTTGAGTAGTTGATTTTAGATCCCAAGGCTATTCTAAATCTATATATGAAATAAGTTTTTATATTTTTTTATATATTTTTTTAAATTATAGTTTTTGTAGTTTTAATTTATAAGATAGAATTGTGTGCATATTAATTAAGGATTTTTTGTTTTTAAAAATAAAATACTACTAGTTTTAATATCTTTTATGGCTTCTTTAGAAATAATATTTAAACTTCATCTACAATTAAGAATAAGTATAGTATTTAATAATAACATTACTTTCTTGCTTTTAAGAATAAAAACTTATTTATAATACAATTATCTATAAATTTTAGTTTTTTTCCTTGTAAGGAATAACATTTTTATTGTTGTAATTAAGAGTAGAAACTTAAACAATGCAATGCAATTCAATGAAATGCAATAAAAAAAACTAAAATTTATATTAAAAAAACTTAAACATTATATTATAATCTTATAAAAATATGAATTTTAAAAATATATATATATATATATATATATATATTTTTTTTTGGAGATTTTTGAACAAATGATTGTTTATTAGATCATAAGAATATAATTTAGAATAAAATTAGAAATAAAAAAAATATATTTTTAAATATAATTTTTAGTCTATATTAGAAAAATTAATATAAATATAACATATGAAATAATTTATAGTATGATAGGTCTCTAATTACTCAATTTTGTTTTTGTAAAATAAAATATATATATATTTATAAATTTTAGTAGAAATTTATACTTAATTAAAGTATCATTAATCATGCTGACATAATTTTATCTAAATATATTCTATTTATTTTTTAAAGAATTATCAATCTATGTCATTAAGTCTTGATGTAATTTTATTTGCAGCATGTAAGCAAAGATCATGCTTTTTAGGTTTTATATTATTTTAATGATGTAATTTGGAACATATTTGATCATATATATAATAGAGTATTGAAATTAGAGAAATTGAGGTCAATTGCAAATTCTTAGATATTTACATATTAAATGTGGCAAAAATTTAAAATCTCTTATATAAAACCACTCAAAGAGTGAAGACAAATATACAGATAAATAAGAAGAGACAAAAAGCCTCTTTGTTTTGTTGTGTGTTTCATTATTTTCATCAAAAGTGAATTAAAATTGAAATTAATTGAGATATTAATTGTGACTTTAACTAAGATTAATATGCTATTTTAGAATAATTCTAAGAAAAAAAGAACGGAAGAGTTCTAGTTAAAGAAATCTTATATATAAATAATTTAAGAAGAATCTTAATAGATTGGGCTACAACCTCTTTCCTAAGAGGTGTAAGGTACAAGCTGGGAAGGAAAATGGACAATAGGCATCGGATTTTGTAAGGTACATATTTGAATCCAATTTTTGACTATATTAATGAGAACATAAATGCGGATGAGGCACAATCCAGAATATAAGCTAATAGTGTGGCAAAAAAGACACATATTTATTTTTCTTCTCTTTTTGTAGCTTGTATCTTTATAGTTGGATGATTATAGGGACTTTAGCATAGCTATAGAAGACAACGTGAATTTAAGTTTCTAACAAATAAGCAATTTAGAAGGTACCAACTCCTTCAGATTTGAGAGCACATATATTATGTATGCATGTGCATGCATTGTTGCGGAACATTATATATGTAGAACATCATATGTATATTTTTTTGTAAAGGTCTTGTAATAAGAAGTTTTTATGAGAGAAAATTGGCTCACATTCAAGATAGAATACAATCCAACATTAAAGTTGTAATTTTATAGCATATGTGTTGCACTAATGTGGGATAGAAATACATATTTAGAAATGTGCTACATTAAGTGGAATTTGAAGGTCTTGGCTACAATCACAAAAAAAAGTCAGATTTACCTTGAAAAGAAAACTTCATGCTTCTTTTGCGCAAGACACCATGGCCTTTGCTATCTTTGTAAGCCTTCCTTCTACTAATGTTGTCGTATTATAAATATTTTTAGTATGCAAAAATTAATTAGAACATGTAATATGTTCATAAGTCTTGGTGTATGTTAGAGTGGTTAATAGATTAATTTAAAGAGAGTGAATTTAAGAAACTTTATTTTGAATTTTATCTTTTTTGATTATAGCATTTAAAAAAATTATAGGACCTAAATGTTTAGTGTGAAGCCTTGAGAGGAGATTAGAGCCTAAAGATGAAAATCATAACTAGTAGGAGGCTTATTGGGAGGGATAAAAACAAGACATGGGTAGATGAAGGCAAGGAATGGAAATCTTCATTCCTATTAGTCGAAGGCCATGTCCAATGGGCTTCAAGAGGGCTGCCTAAGGCCTTATTAGGGATTAGGGTTTTTCTTTCGAGGTTATTCGAGCTTTGGAGGCTAAGATCAACAATTTTAGGTTTTTGAGTACGGATTGGATACAAATTTTGTGTGATTTGGAGTTTTTATGAAGGAATTATTGGTACTCCAAGTTAAGGTGTCAATTTCATACCTACTGTCACTCTTTGGGGCATAACATACATTTATAGAGAGCAACGAAGGATCGTCAATTAGGATTAGAGAGAGCACTTCTTCGACTATACTTTATGTACACTATTTGATGAATTTGGAGTTTGGATGAAGAAGTTATAGAGAGTTAAAGTCAGCACATCCAAATCAAAGGCAGTAAGTAAGTGATTTTATTCATAGTAATGGTTGGAGCCATATCTTGAGTTTTTGAACAAATTTTTGCTTCAAACTTGTAGAAGAAGGTAAATTATTGTGTTAAAAAGCTATACATACAAATTTTGTAGCATTTAAATGCTTAGTTTGTGAGATATGAAGAAAATTACACACAGATGTATAAAAAATAGGATTTGAAGCTATTGTTAGGATTTTGATGATATCTTAAGATCCTCGATGAATTTTCAATTGAAATTTGTTGTGATAGTTGTTAAAAGTACATCAATACTTCATATAAAATTTGAATGTGTTTGAACAGTCCGATTGGAAAATATGAGTTTTTGAAGTTCAAAAATAATACTCCATAAAGATATTTAAGGATTTAGAGGTTTTATCATATTTTGGATGTTTTTGGGAACTTAAGACTTATATATTTAGTGTAATAGCACCTAAAAGTGATATATATATATATATATAATCAAACCTGGTCTTTCTTATCTTAAGACTTGATTGAGCAATTAGTAGCATCCAAGAGCCTAATACTTTCTTGAGACAAATTCTCTCTATTCCAACAACGTTGCTTATATATTTTTCTTAGTTAGGTATGTCATATTAGTAAATTTTTCATTATAGCTTTTTAGAAATAGTTTTTTTGTACTTGCTACATATAAGAAGAATATTCTAATTTTAATCCCTAGACTTAAGATTAGAGATCTACACTCAAAGTTTGTTTTTTCAAGCATAACTTTAATTCTATTGGTTTTTTTTGTCCACTTAAAATCTAAATAATTTCTTTAGGAGTACGATATCAACCTAAAAAGAGTTCAAAAATGTATAAGAGAATAAAAAAAAACATTTAATTTATATTGACACTACTACTACCAAGATGTGTAGTGATGTTTTGCTTAATCTAAGTAACTGTTGCATCAATCTCTATAGTCATAGCTACAAGAATTTTATTAATAATTGAGACCATGACCTTTAGATTTGTTTCTAACATGGACCGAATTATATTTGGATTTGCATCAAAAAAATTTATTTTGATTAAATTGTTATTACATAGTAACTTCACAATAATATTATTGGAAAGTAAGTTATGAGAGATTGTCTTCTAATTCATTTCAAACTCACCATTTCTCTTTTCTAACTACCATCTTGTTATACACAATAATACTATTAATGCAACACATATAAAAGCTAAAACTTCCCTCTTTGCTACGACTACTATATTGCTGATTTAATTTTGGTCTTTGTTCTCAACAACACATTTGACACCCCATAGCCAACAATCTATTGACCAAGAAAAATTGTCCATATGTACAATATTACTAGAAAGACACAAAAAAAATGTTGTGTATGTACAATAGTGTGTCTTTTTTTCTATGCTCCTTATTACTAGAACTTATAAAAGATCACATGATGTTATGCATAAGAATGACATTCAACTATGTCATTATAAAGTAATGGTTGGAACTTGGGTATAATATATAATTAAAGATTTTGTGACAATGGCACAAGTTTAGTTAGTATAAATTTGAAATGTATCAATCAAACCACACATCACCTTTAAAAAGAAGTAAAAAGAAAAACTATGAAAAAAAAAAAAAAAAAAAAAAAACTATTAGAATTTTTTATTATTTTTTAATAAAAAAACCAATTTTTATTATTAGAGATTAATTTTTAATATTTATTAATTATCATATTATATTTTTCTTAAAATTTATCAATACATACTTGATTTAAAAAA